TTTCTTGGGACAAGCTCTTTTTCCTTTTCTAAGAGCAATGGGTAAATCATCAGAATCAGTAGTAATGGGTAAGTCATCAGAAGTATTAACATCATGATCAAAAATATGAGATTCAGGACTTACCAGTGGTTCAGACGATTGAGGTTGCTGCTGAGACAATGTGGGCTGTTTCCTTCTTTCAGGTGTCATAACCTTCCGTATCTCTGGTGTACTTGATGTATCAATCACAGGAAAATCAGTCACAGGAGGATTACTCACAAGAGGATCAGACACAGGAGGAACAGACACAAGAGGAGGATACACTGGCACAGGTGAAGGAGTAGACACCGAAGTTTCAAAGAAGGAAGGTGATGAGTCTTCTGGTGAATTATTCTCCCCCTGAAGATGAGGACCTTGGAAAAAGGACTCAGATTCCTGAAATGTAACATCCATAGAAACAAAAAATTTCGACTTCCAGGGTGATAACACTTATAGCCCTTCTTATCAGGAGCATATCCAAGGAAGACACATTTAAGAGCCCTAGGATCCAACTTACTGCGATGCTGTTTATGAATATGAACAAAGACAACACACCCAAACACTCGAGGAGGAAGACTTTGCAAAGTTGGAACAGAAGGAAAAAAAGAAGTCATGGAGTGAATAGGACTTACATGATCGAGAACCCGAGTGGGTAGACGATTGATCAAGAACGCTGCAGTAAGAATGGCATCTCCCCAATAACATTTGGGTACATGTGTTTGAAACAGTAAGGCACGAGAAACTTCAAGAAGGTGACGATTTTTCCTTTCAGCAACCCTATTTTGTTGAGGGGTGTCTACACAAGTAAGTTCATGAATCATACCTTGATTTTGTATAAATTGGGAAAAAGAGTGATTGACATATTCAGTACCATTATCTGTCCTTAGTCTTTTGATTTTTTTACAAAATTGAGTTTCAATCATTTTATAAAATTGAAAGAACAATTGTGGTACCTCAGACTTTTCACGCATTAAGAAAACCCAAGTTACACGAGTGCAATCATCAATAAAAGAAACAAACCATTTATTTCCAGAAGAATGAGGGACCTTAGAAGGACCCCAAACATCAGAATGAATAAGATCAAAAGGTTCAACACTCTTAGTAATACTAGAAGGAAAAGACACATGATGATGCTTAGCAAATTAACAAACATCACAATGAAAAGACTCAACAGACTTAGACAAAAACAATGACGAAAATAAAGATTTGAGTAAACTAAATGGAGGATGACCCAAACGCTTATGATGCAGCCAAATTAAAGAATCAGCAGTTGATTGACCATGAGACATGAAGGTGTGATCTGTTACTTTATTTGTGGGAGATTGTGACACCAGATAGTACAACCCACCTTGCTCTTTAGCACTACCAATCGTCTTCCCCGTGGCGAGATCCTGAAAAACACAATGGGTAGGGAAGAAGGTTACAGTACAATTCAAATCTTTTGTAATTTTGTGAATAGAAAGAAGATTCGTGGAGAGTTTAGGAACATGAAGAACATCCTTAAGATGTAAGGACTGTTGTAAGTTTATGTCACCAGAACCCGCAACTGATGTATGTGAGCCATCAGCTATGGATATTGTATGAGTTCCAATGGTAGGATGATAAGAAATAAAAGAGTCAGCACAACAAGCCATATGATCAGTAGCACCAGAATCAACAACCCAAGAATATTTAAAATCATTACATGAAGAAATGAAAGAATGAGTTTCGGAGCTCATACCAGTCATAGCCAAAGCACTAGTATCAGATGGCTTACTCAGATAATCAAGAATGGTTCGGAGTCGTTCCAACTCATCTGAACGAAATGCAGATTGGGTCTCATTAGGTGCAGGGGTTATTTCAGAAGAAGTAAAATGCGCTTGACCACGCATCCTCGCCATCTTTTCTAAGACAGTTTGCTTTCCATAAAGGCAAAAGCATAAATCCTTGATATGACCTATTCTTTTACAATAAGAACATCATCGGTCATCTTTCTTAGGTCTAGAAGAGGTACCATCATAAAATTTTAAAAAAGAACTCCTTTGAGAAGAGGCCATACTGCACAGAAAATGGTTAAAGAAAAGCTCCAAGAAGCCAAAAAATCACAAATAAATATCAAACGATGTCCGATCAAAGAGAGGAGCACAGATCCAGAAAGAGGATGAGAAGAAGATCACAAAACTTTTTGGCCTGAGCTGGAAAAAGTGTCCCACGCGCCGGTGGAGGTGTCTGCGAGTGGTCCTCACTCGTCGGGAGTGTGGCGGCGCGTGAGAGCGCGTGCCGCGGCCGCCGGAGCTGAAATTTCTGCAGGGAGGTCGTCCGACGGTCTCGAACCTTTCTGTGGCCGGTCGGAGTTGAAAAGTCGCTGGAAAAGTGTCCAAAACGCGATGAACAGTAGCGGCCTTGTGTTGTTTTGGGAAGATCCGGTCGTCAAACGATTATAACACGTCCGTAAGCTGATAGATCAGAGAAAAATGATTTGAAAACTGGTCCTCTTGGTCCAAAAGGTCCACCGGAAAAATTTTCCGGTGGTGGCTAATGGCGGAAAGAGGCTAAGAAAGAAGGTTTCTGTTTTAACGGAGGTAATTGCGGAAGCAGAGCCCTCTGGATCGAGAGCTCTGATACCAACTTGAAAGAAAAGGGTATTTGAAATATTATTGAATTGTATTTGAATCTGTACATAGGGGTCTCTATTTATAGAGACTTCTTGACCTAATTTTGACCTAATGGGCTTGGCCCAATATACAAGTAACGAACTAAATAAATACAAATAAATGACTACATAATTACTAATAAATGACTACATAATTACTATTTACAACATCTGATAATCATCTTTTGTGATTGCCACTGCATACTGCCTGATAATAAGTTTATAGGATGGGTACATTTTTTACTCTCTGTAAGTATGATTGACTTTGATCTCGAAGCCATATCTTGCCTTTGTTTATCCATTCCTTTTGTCCATACCAACTATCCTCGTTCTGGAGAGATGCTAAGCAGCTACCATCTCAGAAAACTTACAAAAATTCACTCTTGTTTATTTTGATTTTCCTTCTAGTGAAACTTGCTCTATTACATCATCTTTGTTTACCTCACAACCTCCACTTTACAATTGATTTAATGATAATTTTCAAAACCGTTGCTCTACGTGATGATTTCACCATTTGTTTCAGTTTGTAAACATCTTGGGTTGCTTCCAGTGGCTAACATGTCTAAGGAAGGTAGCAATTGAGATTGAATAAGACTTAGATTGAATAATTGTGTGTTACAACTGTACAATAGCTCTCTATTTAAAGAGACTAAATGATCTAATGGGCTAAGCCCACAAGATGTGGGACTATTCTATTATATACACTGAACAACTATTCTAACACTCCCCCTTAAGCTAGTGCGTATATATTGTAAGCACCCAACTAGTTACAAATGTATTCAAGTCGAGGACCTCTAAGAGCTTTAGTGAAGACATCTGCGAGTTGATCATTGGAGTTGACAAATGCCGTTTTAATTTCTCCTGACCGAATCTTTTCTCGAATGAAGTGACAATCAATCTTTATATGTTTGGTTCTCTCATGAAATACAGGATTAGATGATATATGTAGTGCAGCTTGATTGTCACAAATGATGTCATGGGTTGTTTCTGTTCACAAAGATGGAGCTCCTGAATCAACTGTTTTAACCAGATTAGCTCACAGGTAGCAACTCTCATTGCACGATATTCGACCTCTGCACTAGACCGGGCAACGACAGTTTGTTTCTTACTTTTCCAAGAAATTAGGTTTCCTCCAAAGAAAACACAATAGCCTGAAGTAGAGTGCCTGTCTGAGTGTGATCTTGCCCAATCAGCATCTGAATAACCACAAATTTCTGTATTTCCCTGATCTGAATATAATAAACATTTCCCTGGTGCTCCTTTGATGTACTGGAGGATCCTCACAACAGCATCCCAATGAGAATCACAAAGAGATTCAAGGAACTGACTAGCCATACTAACAGCAAAAGAAGTGTCTGACCTAGTCATAGTGAGATAATTGAGCTTCCCAATCAATCTTCATTAACGTCCAGGATGAAATAATAGCTCCCCCTGTCCGGGCAATAATTTGATAGTAGGGTCCATGGGAGTATCAACTGGCTTACATCCCAACATACTAGTCTCCTCTAGGATATCTAAGGCGTATTTCCTTTGACAGATAGAAATGCCCTGTTTAGACTATGCCACCTCAATCCTTAGGAAGTAATGAAGCTTACCAAGATCCTTTGTTTGAAATTGACTGAACAAATACTGTTTTAACTGGCGAATCCCATCTTGATCACTCCCAGTGAGAATAATGTCATCGACATAGACAAACAAATAGATGCACTTATCTGGAGATGTGAACCCATAAAACACAGAATGATCGACCTTACTGCGGGTTAAGCCAAAAGCCTGAACGACAGAACTGAAAAGCTTGAACCATGCCCGAGGAGATTGCTTGAGGCCATATGAGGACTTACGAAGGTGGTTGCTCCATGTAAACCTCTTCTTGTAAATCACCATGAAGAAAAACATTTTTAATCTCTAGTTGAAGGAGTGGCCAGTGACGAACAACAACGAGAGCAAGAAACATGCGAACAGAAGCCATCTTAGCGACATGAGAGAATGTGTCACTATAGTCAAGACTAAGATCTGAGTAAAACCTTTGGCGACTAAGCGCGCCTTGAGATGGTCAACATGGCCATTAGGTCCAACCTTGACAGTAAAGACCCACCGACAACCAATAATAGACTTCTCTGGAGGAGTAGGAATAAGATCCCAATTGCCATTGGAATGAAGAGCAGTCATCTCATCAAGCATCGCTTGGCGCCACCCTGGATAGGAAAGTGTTTCACCTGTGGTCTTAGGAATAGAAACATAAGAAAGACTAGAAACAAAGGTGTAACGAGGAATAAAAAGACGATCATAGCTTAAAAAGGTATAAAGAGGATAAAGGTTACGAGTAGTACGTATACATTTTCTTTGGGCAATGGGAAGAGCTTCTGATGAAGGATCCAAAGGGGAAGAGGTGATAGGATAAGGTGATGAGTCACTCAGGGTCAAGTCCACAGGATTAGGGGTGTCAAAACTGGTTGACACGACACAAATACGCCAACACGAATACAACACGAATTTTTATTTGTGTCAAAATCTTCAACACGAACACGGAGATTTGGGGGAAAATGCAAAAGAAAGTAGTTATATGCCATGCAGTCACCTAACCAGTTCAAGAGGACATCTACTCAGCAAGGGAGTACAACTAGACCTTCCACCATTCCCAGATGTACCGGGTGTGAGAGATCACATGTTGGGCCTTGTTCCATCGGCTAGGTTATTTGCTTCAATTGTGGCAAAGAGGGCCACTATGCCAGCGATTGTTCCTCACCAGTTGCTAGGACTACAACAGTTCAGGCGGCCCCTCTACAGATGGTTCCTGTTCCACTTACAGCTACACCAATCGTGCCATCGGTTACAGGCCGTGTGTACACTCTTGATCGCCAGCAGTCGAATAAAACTCCGAACCTTGTGAGAGGTACTGTTTCTACTGGTGGTTGTGACGTAGATGTGTTGTTTGATTCCGGGACCATGCACTCTTTCATTACAGACCCGATTGCTGCGGGGCTTAAGTTGCCAATTTCTATGCTTTCTCCATCTTTGCGGGTTACTGCTGTTACTGGGGAGAAATAGGACGCTTCATCTATGTACCGAGATGTGAAATTTCAGTTGGATGACCGAGATTACGTAGCTGATCTCATTTGTCTACCCATAGTCAACTTAGAAATCATTTTGGGTATGGATTGGTTGTCCAAGAATTGTATGATGATTGATTGTTGTGCAAAAAAAATGGTGATGTCTCACTGTGATTCCACTACCAGTTCTTCTCCTTATTTATCAGTGCTTCAGGCTAGGAAGGCCTTGAGAGTAGGGGCATATGGCTATGTCATGTTGGGAGGTTTGGTGAGTGGGACACAAGAGGATATTATGACATTCTTTTGGTGAGGGAATTCCTTGAGGTATTTCCTGAGGAGATTCCTGAGTTTTCTCCATAACGGGAGATAGAGTTCTCCGTTGATTTTTTACCTGGTGTGGGGTTTATTTCATTAGCTCCATACCAAATGTCTCCACTTGAGTTAGCGGAATTGAAGAAGCATATTGAGGATCTTTTCACAAAGAATTTTATTCGACCTAGGGTGTCTCCGTGGGGAGCACCGGTCATATTTGTCAAAAAGAAATATGGAAGCATGCGATTGTGCACCGATTATAGGTAGATGAACAAGGTGACAATCAAAAACAAGTATTCCCTTCCACATATAGATGATCTTTTGGATCAGCTCAGGGGTGCTTGCGTGTACTCAAAGATTGATCTTCGGTCTGGATATCATCAAATCCGGGTTAAGCCGGAGGATATTCCTAAGACTGCGTTTCGTTCGAGATACGATTATTAGGAGTAGTTAGCTTTAACCACCTCAAAGTTGAATTGGTTTAACAACCCAGTCTTCATGGTCGAAAAGAAGAGGTGAGAAGGTGAAAGGGAGAAGATGGGTTTTGTAGTTATAGTGGGAATGAAACAAGAGATTTTGGTAGATAAAGATGATGATAATACGAAGGTGAGGAAGAGATGAATTTTTCGGCTAGTAGAGTGAATAGGCAGGAGCTGTCTTCTTTCTTTATATTTCATTCATTTGGGATTTTTGTTTTATTTATTGTTTTCAGATTTTATCATTTTTTTTAAGAGTGCGGGTCTTACACACATTAAGGGTGAAACTTGTAATAACTTATAACGATATATCAATCATGTGAAAAATCAGTTTCAAACTTTTGTGAAAATTATTAGAAGTAATCATGGACCATAATTTGGCATGCATAAAAGCAAATTGATAATTATATATATGAGTAGGGTTATATTGACAAATTTTTTTTTTACAAATTTACAAATTACATTATGTCTCACCGTTGATACTCTACTCTAGAGTGTATTACCGGTAAGACATAATATAATTTGTAAAAGTTTGTAAACAAAATTTTTGTAAATATAACTTTTTTCTATATATATAATAATTTATTTTCAATGAAAACTTTGATAAAATCACAATGCTTTGACCAAGTTCATGACTTTAATATATCCAAATATACGGCTTCAAACAACCGTAATGAAACTTACAATAATAAATAACACCTTTAAACAATGGGAAAAATGTTTATCTTTTTAAATGATATAATTTGTGTCATTTCACTCTCACAAAGAGGTGGGGTTCACATCTTTTTTTTTGGCAACTCTCTTTCCTTTATCTATATTTTTCTCTCTCTTAAAATAACACAAATTTACGTCCTTTAGAATGACATACACTTTTCCCTCAAACAATCAAAACATGCAAGAACAAAGGATATCCCTAAAGTAACTAAATCTGCAAACTATGAAACAACACTGGGTTCAAGCTTATTCCACACAGAAGACTTGTCTTGACAAGAGATCTACTAACTTAAATATTGATACGAGGGGAATATGATCGCCAAAGTCTGAAAATTAACAAAAGAAAGTGTGTTAGTCTCCCAAACTTGGTAAAAGAAATGAAATTATGATTGACTTGCTCCAAAAAAAATAAATCTAAATTCTTATTTAAAGAAAGAATAATAACATTAATATATTCCAAGCATTTGAAATAATAAAAATAAAATATCAAGTTCGTATAAATAAAAATCAAGATCAGCTTATAAGAAAAACATTTAACAAAGTCTTAATTTTTATTTTATTTAATACATACACTATTGCGCAACATATCTTACATTCGTTTAGGTAATAAGTCATAAAAGCACTTAACCATTCAATTTCGAAATAATATTTTTAGGATCCATTTACTCAAAGAGATTAAACATAGATACCATTTTAGATTTCTAATTAATTCATTTCTCAAATGAGTTTCTAATACCATTTTAGAGATGTTACTTTGCACCACTAGGGATAGCCTAGTAGTGTTGGGTGTGTTTAGGGTGTATTAAGTGTGCGGTTCGATTCCCTGTAATGTCCAAAAAAGAGATGTTACTTTAAACATAGAACACACTGTCATTCCAGATAAATAAATAATAATTTCTGAAATTACAACAAGTAACTACGTCTGTTTTTGGAAGCCCAAATATAAAATTCGGGGATAACATACTGCAAAAGCATACAAGAACCCAAATGAAAAGTAATAAAATATTGCGAGAAAAAGAACAAAAAAAAAACCTAAGAAGTATATAAACTTTCACTTGAAAATCACGGTCTTAACATTGATTAAAAAAAAAATTCAGTTTTATAATGTTTTTTAGAAATAAATTGAGATTGAGAATAGGTGCATGTAAGGGTAGAAAATAGAAGATTTAGGTTGGGTATTCTTCACCCAGACGTACAATTCACTCACTTTAAAACATACTAATAGCACACAGAATAGAAGGCTCGTAGAAAAAAAGCCAATACATAAATGGAGGAAAACAACTAATTCAGAGATTGAGTACAAACCCGAATCGGATTAGTTGCGAAGCAATGAACCGATTGGAATATTTCTAAAAAAAAAAAAGAGATTGAGTACAAACGAGAGATAATAGAATATTGGAGGATCAACTTACCAATTAGGAGACGAAAAGATCTAGAAAATAAATGTTTGTTTTCCGAAATCTAATAGCAAGTAAAAACATTTGTTTAATTTATATGCAGTGCCACTATAAATGAGCTTGTACTCTCATACCCACTAAAAATTTTATTCAATCATTAGAATGGTAATAAATAATGATATGTTAAAATATTAGTAAATGTAAGTGCAAAATAAAATATTTTATTAAAATATGAACTTTATAAACAACATATTCAAGATCATGGAATTACAATAAAAATTTTATTATGTAAGTTTGTCTTACGTTAAAAGATAGTTTTATTTTTTATTTTTTTGGATAAATTTATTTTTTATTTTTTTGGATAAAAAAAGATAGTTTTATTTGAAGTTAAATGTTTTAATCCCCTCCAAAAAAAAAAAAAAAAAAAAAACACACACACACACTTTGAAGGTAGTATTTTTTTGTGTTTTTTGTTGTGTCCATATATACACTACTATTTAATGTGGAAAACAAAGGCAAGTACATGTGAGAAGGCTAAAATATTATTACCAGCTAGCCTTCGAGCCACCTCTTGTATTTGGCAACTTTCACAGCTATCATGACATAAATATTGTCAGTTAAATTGTTTCAATAACCTGAAATAAGCATGTCGCAAAGAACGGCTGACCAAAATTGAGCCGAAAATTCCCCAAAAGCCTATAACAAATCCAAATGCCATGCTCACATAAAATCCACGACTAACAAGCAAATCCTCATCCTCATCCTCAGATTTAACAATTGGTTCCTTCGGTGGCTCCGCTTCAATATTACACAACTTGTCAAGTGGCTTCCCACAAAGATCAAGATTATCTTCATAACTTGAGGCATCAAAGCTCTGTAATTGTGTGCTGATCGGAATTTCCCCAGATAGATGGTTATGAGACAAATCTAACATGGTAAGCCGATCAATTCGAGCAAGACTAGAAGGGATTGAACCTGAAATTTGGTTTCTTGACAAATCAAGGAATTCAAGTGATGTTAGCCTTCCAATATTTGAAGGAATTTCCCCTGTCAAATTGTTCCCTGACAAATTCAGTGAAACCAAATCAAACAAATTCACTATTTCTATTGGAATTTCTTCTGAAAAGTGATTGCTCGAGAGATCAATGCTTTTTAAAAGAAATGACCCATTATTCTTGAACATTTGTTCCGAACCTTTCCACGTCAAGATTGCATTCAAGGAGTATGGCATAGAGTTAAACTCATGATTAGTTTCAATATTATAATACAGATAATGTCCTGAGGAAGTCTTCTGAGCCATTGAAGTAAAATTTTTGAAGCATTTGGGAATTTGTCCAGATAAGTTGTTCAATGAGAGATCTAAGAGCTGAATGCTTTTTAGATAACAAAGTTGCAATGGTAAACTTCCACAAAAGTGATTCCTTCTTAAGCTTAAAATTTGCAACTCTTGAAATTTGCTCCCAATCCAAGAAGGAATAGGCCTTGACAATCTATTTTCCGCCACATCTAGCATTACTAACTTTGTGCAACTCCTCAAGGAGAAAGGGATCCCCTCTGTTAAGCTATTGTTTCTCAATAGCAATGCTTCAAGTTCAAGAAGTGATCCCATTGAACTAGGAATCTTTCCTGAAAAATTATTGTGACTCAAATCTAGATGTACTAATGACTTGAAATAGCTCCAACAATGCGGAATTTTTCCGGATAACTGATTGCTTGAAAGGTCTAATTGGGCTAAAGTTTCAGTTGAACCATTATTAGCACATAAAAACCAACGAGAATCTGAGAATTTATTTTCGGACAAATCAAGAGATACAGAATCTCGTAGAAATGGTGGAATAGGACCTTCAAATTGATTTGACGCAAGATTTAAAGAACTTGGAGTATTGTTTACTGGAACATTTGGAATTACACCTTTGAGATTGTTGTATGAAATATTCATGGTTGCTAGGTCCGGTGATGCAATCTTAGCCCAAAACCACTCTGGAACAACATCTGATATTCCACAATTAGAAATATCAAGATTTGCGATGTAATTTTGTGTCTGCAACCATTTGGGAAATGTTGGACCTAACTTGCAAGATCTCAACCATATTTCTCTTAGTTGAAAAGATGGCACCCAATTTTGGCTAAATGCCACAACCAATGAGTTGTCAGATAACGTCAAGGACATTAACTTAGACATATTGGCAAAATGAGATTCAGTGATCACCCCTTCCAAAGCATTTGAATGTATATCCAGTGTTTCAAGGTCAATCGGAAATCGAATATCTTCACGAATCTTCCCATTCAGCCTATTTTCATCAAGATATAATTCTTTTAAAGATGAAAATATCGAGAAATTAGGAAGTGTGCCATTGATTTGATTCGTGCTTAGACCCAATTTTTGCAGTGAGTATCTAGCACATCCAGACAATTGATGGATTATCATTGGAAGCTCTTCACTCAAATTGTTAATGGACAGGTCCAATGAGCTCAAAGAACATGCATTCCCGAATGATTTTGGAACTCCGCCTTCTAATGAGTTTGAACTGATTGACAAAGACTCCAACTGAGATGGCAATATGCTCCCTTCAGGTATCTTTCCACTTAATCGATTACTAGAAAGATCCAATGTTTTCAAAGATGAGAATATTGAAAGGTCCGGTAACAAACCAGTGATTTGATTATATCCCAGATTCAACTCTTGTAGTGAGTACACAACACAACCACTAGACAAGTTATGAAGAATTGACGGAAGGTCTTCAGTGAAATTATTTTCAGACAGGTCTAAAGAACGTAAGGTGCATATATTCATGAAGGATTTCACAACCCCACCCTTGAGACTATTGCCGGAGAGGTCAAGTTTCTCAAGAGAATTCATTGCTATGCCAAAATGATTTGATGGGGAATCCTCCAAGAGGTTTTCACTAAGGTCAAGCTCAACAAGGTTGGAGCTGATATTTGACACCCACTGGAATATAATGGATGACGTGAAGGTGTTCTGAGAGAGATCAATGACGGAAAGGGAAGAAGAAGAGTTGAATCTGGAAGGACTCGGTGAATGGATAAAATGATCAGAAAGGCCACATTTAATCAAATTTAGTTCTCTTAGTTTTGGTAGCTTACCAATCATTTGCATCCAACTATAAGAACTATTAAGATTAGATATTCCAACCAAGTGAAGATGGATTAAAGAAGTGAGATTAGACAGCCACTGACCTCTGGCGTGATTACCATCGTCAATTTTGAGAGAACTACCATATCCTCCAAGATAAATCTTCTGCAAGTTTGAAAGGTTCCAAAGCTGAGATGGTATTTTTCCTTCTAAATAATTGCCAATGAGATCAAGATATTGCAACTTGGAGAGATTTCCGAGTTGATAAGGGATTGAACCCTCCAAGGTATTTCCGCCAAGATTTAAGTATTTCAAATGTGAAAGAAATCCCAATTGACTTGGAATGTTTCCTCCAAAATCACAAAATGACAGATCAAGGTATCTCAAGTTGGTCAGAGAACCAAAGAAATTTGGGATATGGCTGTCTTTAAAAGAATTCGAACTGAGGTTCAAATACTTTAATTGTTGCAACTCCATCAACGACTTGTGGATCTTACCGCTGATATAAAGTTGTGAGACTGATTCATCGAACTCTCCATTGAAGATATCATGAGACTCTCTCCATGAAGATCGAGCATTAAGATATGGCCAGTAAGCTTGCTACAACGAATTCCCTTCCATTGGCAACAATCTGCACTCTTCCATGATGACATCATGCCATACTTATCCACAAGCCCACCCTTGAACTGAAGTAGTGCTTCCCTCTCCCTTTCTACGCACCTAACCACTTTCGAAGGAACAAGGTCAACCTGAAACACCAAACACACCATAAATATATATATATGGTTTCAAGGAAATATCAAACAAACTGAATTCATCATTCATGACAAGTGATGAAATCCACAAAATCACTTTGTTTGCAACTTACCTCTTTCGCAAAAAAAAGGTTCACCTGCAACACCAAACACACCATAAATATGGCTTGAACGAATTTTAAACAAACTGGATTCATCATTAACATTGTTCTCATAACAAGTGATGAAATATTAGATTGATACTGGTTAGGATTTGCGTTGCCACTAGCCATATATATATATAAAAAGAAGAACGTGACTATGACGATTGACGACTTAGAAAGGTCTATAGTAAAAAAAACAAAAAACAAAATTGACTTGTAAAAGTTTCTAGTTTCTTCATATATATAATTGCTGTTGATATCAAGATATTCTGATTTCCATATTTCCACATTGTTATGAGATTGAAGAAAATCTTAGGGACTCCTGCGTACTGAACACTAAATACATCATTTAGTAAAGTAAAAGATGTCACTCACCTAGTTATATTTATTTTTCAACTTTTTTTAATAAAGGAATATATTACAAAAGTACTGAACATTTAATAAAGGAATAATTACAAAGTACTAAATATATAGGAAAAAATGTCTGTCATTTTAAAGAATGTAAAGTTGTGTCATTTTAAGTGAGAGAAAGAGATAGATAAAGGAGGAGAGAGTGGACAAAAAAAAAAATAAAGATGTGGATCCCACCTTGTTGTGAGAGTGAAATGACACAAGTTGTGTCATTTAAAAGGATAAATAATTTTCTCATATATATATATATATATATATATATATATATATATATATATACCTAAAAATATAGTCTAAAATTAAAAAAAAAAAAAAAAAGTAACGGGTAAATAATATTGTTATGATACCATAAAAAATATAAAATTGTAGCTGCTTGCCAAACAATGGGGGATTGGCTCAAGAATAATAAAAGAAAGATCCATTTGTTTAAAAGCGATTACATTTAAAATTTTGAATGTTAACCTTTTTTGTGAATTTTATTTTTAGGGATGTTCTATCCATTCTGTAAAATCATTAAAAGAGATACGACATATGATTATTCTTCATATCTTTATAATAAACCCAAACTTCTCTTATTTAATGCTAGTGCTCAAAAATTTTATATTAGATTAATTAATAAGTAAAATAGGGCTAAAATGGATATTTAGTTCAATTACTAACTGTGTTAAAGATATACTTAAATGGAATAAAATTACATGAGATAATTGATAAGAAAAAATATATAAGAATATAAGTGATAAAAAAAATAAACCACAAGGAATTTATGAACTTTTCCCTTAAGGTGGTGTTTGGTTGGGAGCTTTTCAGCGGATATCTATCTTTATCAAGTATGGCTTTTAGAAACACCATGTTTGTTTCAACGTTTTTCACCAAAAACCCATCTATCCAATTTGTCTAGATTTATGAGAAACATAGATATCCGCACTGTTTAGAAACCCAATTTGAAGGTGGGATTTTTCGGAAAACCGATTATCTGGCTTTTAATGCACTGTTGATTTCATAAAGTTACCTAATTTTCCCAGTAAAGTTTTTCCCCACCAAACAACTTTTTTTTACATTTTTCTACCTATCTCACTTTATCTATCTTTCCAATTATTTCTCTATCTATCTCATTTCCCTACTATTCCAAAAAAATTTCCTGAACCAAACACCCCCTAAAAGATTTTAGATGAGGATAGACATGAAGCACATTAAGATTTTGTCAATTAATTCGTGTTTCAAATTTAACCATTCTTTTTTAATGAACTTAAAGGTGTGCATGATAACCTTTCCGAATCAATTTTTTTTTAACTTCTATTCCCGGGAACAGAAATAAATAAAAAAGGTGTTTGGTAAAATCGGTTTATTTTTTTGTTTCCGGCATAAACCGGTTTAACTTTTGTGTTGGAAAACAGAAAAAAGAATCAAAAAAATTCTACTTGTTTTGTTCTCGGGCACAAAATGAGAAACACTTATTTCTCTCAATTAGAGTGTGCATGACAATCTTCCCGGAATCAATTCTTTTTTAATTACTGGTCCCGGGAACAGAAATGGATAGGAAACTGGTTTGATAAAATCGGTTTATTTTTTTGTTCCCGAGATGAACCAATTTAATTTTTGTGCTGGGGAACAGAAAAAAAAAATCAAAAAATTTCTGTTTTTTTGTTCCCGGACACAAAATGAGAAACACTTATCTCACTTAATCACTCTCCACCTCTACCATCATCACCACCACCACCATCAGCCTGACACGACTGCCGCCACCATTACCACCACCTCCACCCATTACTACCAGCATGCCACTGTCACCACAACTACCACAGCCGCTGCCACCACCGTCACCACTACCGCCATCAACCACCACCACCATCATCGCAACCACTGCCGTCACCACCACCATCGCCATCACACGCCACTGCCACCACCCCCATCGTCATCACTACCACCATCACGACGCCACTATTACCATCACCACCAATGTCACCAACCACCACTACCATTGCCGCAGCCACTACCGTCACCACCTCCGTCGTCGTCGTCGCCGCCACCAACCACCACCACCATCATCACAACCATTACCGTCACCATCGCCATCATCGCCACCATTACACCACCCCTGCCACTACCATCTCCACCACCATTACCACCGCCACTGTAACCTACCGCCGCCGCCGCAATCACTGCCACCACCACCACCATGATGCCTTCACAACCACTACCAACAGAAATGGATAGGAAACTCGTTTGATAAAATCGGTTTATTTTTTTGTTCCCGAGATGAACCAATTTAATTTTTGTGCTGGGGAACAGAAAAAAAAATCAAAAAATTTCTGTTTTTTTGTTCCCGGACACAAAATGAGAAACACTTATCTCACTTAATCACTTTCCACCTCTACCATCATCACCATCACCACCATCAGCCTGACACGACTGCCGCCACCATCGTCGCCACCGCCATTGTACCACTAGTGCCGTCGTCACCACCCTTCACAACCACGATGCCACCGCCACCATTACCACCACCTCCACCCATTACTACCATCATGCCACCGTCACCACCACCACAACTACCACAGCCGCGCCACCACCGTCACCACCGTCACCACTACCGCCATCAACCACCACCACCATCATCGCAACCACTGTCGTCACCACCACCATCGCCATCACACGCCACTGCCACCACCCCCATCATCACAACCATTACCGTCACCATCGCCACCATTACACCACCCCCGCCACTACCATCTCCACCACCATTACCACCGCCACTGTAACCTACCGCCGCCGCCGCAATCACTGCCACCACCACCACCATGATGCCTTCACAACCACTACCAACATGCCACTGCTACCATTGTTTTCGCCACCAACCACCATACCCACCACCATTGTCGTAACCATTGTCGTCACCTCCACCACCACCATCCCCACCACTACCACCGCCATCGTCGCAGCCACTGTCGTTGTAACGCCCGACCACTGTCGTCACCACCACCATCATCGCAACCACTGTCGTCACCACCACCATCGCCATCACACGCCACTGCCACCACCCCCATCATCACAACCATTACCGTCACCATCGCCACCATCGCCACCATCGCCACCATTACACCACCCCCGCCACTACCATCTCCACCACCATTACCACCGCCACTGTAACCTACCGCCGCCGCCGCAATCACTGCCACCACCACCACCATGATGCCTTCACAACCACTACCAACATGCCACTGCTACCATTGTTTTCGCCACCAACCACCATACCCACCACCATTGTCGTAACCATTGTCGTCACCTCCACCACCACCATCCCCACCACTACCACCGCCATCGTCGCAGCCACTGTCGTTGTAACGCCCGACCACTTGCAAGCATCAACGATTATTCCCACATACTAACACAAGAATTTTCAGTGTGCTTTTTCCTCACTCGCACACTTCCCGGGCAAACTTCCCAGGAGGTCACCCATCCCTGAATTGCTCCAAGTCAAGCACGCTTAACTATGGAGTTCTTCCGATCCGGGCTACCGAAAAGTAGATGCATCTTGTTAGTATAGGTAGTACCAATTAATTCTTATAAGCTATCCCTAAACTGTGCAGTCTCATACCTGCACAATCTTTGGAATCCCTCTCTTTCGGGTGTCGATTCGATTCATCCGTTCATGTAACCCCCTGCTGTAAGCCTGTCAGAAGTCGCTCCTTGTCCATGCCATTTCGCACCGGCGATCACTCCCCGCCCTCGTCAGCGCTCGGGATGTTACATGCTCACCAGCTTCCGCCTGGTTCCTCCTTGAACCACTCCGTACTGGAAGAGAGACCCTGCTCTGATACCACTTGGAACGTCCGGCCACTTGCAAGCATCAACGACTATTCCCACATACTAACACGAGACTTTTTAGTGTGCTTTTTCCTCACTCGCACACTCCTGGGAAAACTTCCTAAGAGGTCACCCATCCCTGAATTGCTCCAAGTCAAGCACGCTTAACTATGGAGTTCTTCCGATCCGGGCTACCGAAAAGTAGATGCATCTTGTTAGTATAGGTAGTACCAATTAATTCTTATAAGCTATCCCTAAACTGTGCAGTCTCATACCTGCACAGTCTTTGGAATCTCTCTCTTTCGGGTGTCGATTCGATTCATCCGTTCATGTAACCCCCCGCTATAAGCCTGTCAGGAGCCGCTCCTTGTCCATGCCCTTTCGCACCGGAGATCACTCCCCGCCCTCGTCAGCGCTCGGGATGTTACAGTCGTCACAACCACCACCACTATCTTCACCACGTCACTGCCACCACCACTACCGTACCACCACCGCCGCTGCCACCACCACAACCACACCATATGGAAAGGAAAGTGATGATCCGAATTTTTTTTATATTTAATAGGAATTATTGTTATTATATTTTTTGTTGTGTTATCAAACACAATTCTCATTCTCGGAATAAAAATAGAACATGTTATCAAATGCATTTTTTTCTCAGAAACTGTTCCAAGGCACATAAATAGAAAAGAATTGTTTCTTTTCAGAAACAGTACTATGGAATAGAATGATTTTCATGCACACCCTTAGTCTCCATCACTATCATCATCATCGTCACCACCATCATCCTAACACGACCACCGCGACCATTTGCCCCCGTCGTTGTACCACCAATGTCGTCGTCACCACCACAACGACAACGACGATGCCACCGCCACCATCACAAC